GGCTGAATGTGCTCTTAGGAGTGAAGCACATTGGAGGAGGAGGATAATCAAAGGTGTGGCTTTGGAGCAAGCTCTCTCTCTGTCTCTGTCTCTCTGTCTCTCTCTCCTTTCTGCTTCCTGGCTGCCATGATCCCTTCCCCTGCCCCGAGCCCTCCCACTGTTTCCAGTCTGCCTTGGAGCCGGCTGAACAGGACTTGGACCTTCTCAAACCGTGAGCCAACGAAACCCCTCCTGCTTGAAACTGCAGATGTCAGGTGTGGCGGTCCACTGACGGGAAGGCTGACCTCTACAGACGGTGCAGTCTAAGCACAGCACCGTGGAAACTTCTCCTTGTATCCAAAAATTGACCTTAGACAAGAGGAAAAGAAACTAGTGTCCGAGACAGTCATTTCATCATTTCCCGTCTCTCACTGTGTGCGCCCTGGTCTACCCAGACCGTGCATGGGCACTTGCAGATTAATCACGTTTCCTGAGAAGATGCCTGCTATGTTACAGGCACTGTCCGAGTGGCAGAGATGCGTGGGTGAATGGCACAGGCGGGCTATTTCTAAACCTTCCTGGAGCTGGTTTGGGGAAGGGGGGCAATAGAGGAGCAGGTGACTCTAATATGAAGCAAATCTGATGGTATGGAGAAGAATAAATCAGGGTAGAAAGAATGCAAGTGCTTTGAGAAGCGGGTTGCAACCTAAAATAGACCGGAGAATGGCCTCGCCCAAAGGGTGGTACTTGAACAGATGCTGGGAGAGGTGCAGGAGAGGGCTTTGTGGGTGCCTGGGTGAAGGGTTCCAAGCGGAGGGCAGATGTGGGCAGGAGTGGGGTCGGCTGGAGTGAGGAGTAACTGGCGAGGGGACTGGAGAGCATCGGGAGAGGGCGGGAAGCCTTGGAAAGACTTCGACTCTAACCCTTGATCAGGTGGGAGTCGAAAAACCCATTGGACCCTGAGCACCTAGAAGGACAGCATGGCTGTCATTGACATGGCCCTTAGCTGAGGCAGGACTGCGGGGCTGCAGGCGCTCAGCTGAGGGCTCAAGGTGCTTGTTAGTCTTCCCAGCAGCAAGGCTGGGTAGGTAACTGGGCATAAAGGTCTGGCTGGAGATGCACATTTGGGAGTCATCGCCGTGCACATTGCATTTAAACCCGTGAAGTTGGATGACAGCTTCCCAAGGGTCAGGGTCAGTGTGGGGAAAAGGTCTCCACAGCGCCCCAGGTGTGGGGGAGATGAGGAGAGGCAGCCCAGGAGACCTGCAGGGCGCAGTGTGCGAGGCGAGGACAGGCTAGCAGAGGGTGGAGGTGCAGAGGTTAGGGGAAGGGACGGTTAAAGAGCAGAGTGGTCTGTCAGCAACAGCTGACCAGTGAGTTTAGCGGTGGCCACTAGAGGTCATTGGCGCAGTAACGTTTGAAGCTGGCTGCTGATTAATGCCATCAGCCAGGCCCTTTCTTTGTGAAGAGGGCATCATGTGGCTTGGAGTCAGTGTTTTCCTGCTCTGCTGTCCCTGTGAAATCACCTCTGTGCACCTGCCCTGGTACATGAAGGGTTTGGAAATAAGGACTGGTCCAGTGCAGCTGCCGCATCCCCCAGCTGTGCAGGACAGACCTGGGATAAGCTGAGTGACACGAGCAGGTTCATTTGTGGTAGACGCAGGACATCACGTCCAGGAGCCCTCACGTTGGGCTTTGCACTTTTTCTGGCACAGGTGCAGCTGTGTGCTGACCGTCACACAGAACAATCCCAAGAATAGAGACAGCAGCTCTCCCCTTTGGTTCTCTACTGTTGTCCCCTCCCTGATGCGTTTGTTGAGTGGGGATGGACACCGTGCCCTGGAATGCTTCTGAGTTCTTCTAACCTGGGTCTGGATCCCGGTTCTGCTATTTACTAGGTGTGTGATTTTGGATACATTAATTCATTTCAGTGAGCCTCAGTTTCTTCATTTGCACAGTGGGTACTTGTCTGGGTTACTTTTTGGGGGTGACCCGACACCCAAAATGAAGGAAGGGAAGGTTTATTTAGCTCACAGTGTAAGGAGGTTTTAGTCCATAATCAGCTGGCTCCAAGGCAGGATGACATGCCACAGGGCAACACTTCAAGACAGCGGCCAGCAAAAGCAGCCAGAGCAAAAGTGGGCAGTCAAGCCTCTTTCCTCCTTTATATGGTGTGCAGGTCACCCCTGTTTCCCAGAGCAGATGTAGCACCCTCAAAATCTCCTTGCCCTCCTCTTACACAAGATAGGATATTTACAAAGTAAGAATCCTGGCTCCCTGCTGAGTCTCTTAGTTAAACTTCTAAACTCAAGCTGACACAGTGTATCATCTCTAATAGTGTTCCATCTCAATGGTGCCCCATCTAGCTCTAATAAGCTACTGCTTGCCTGTGAGGAATGTTGCAAGATCCATTCCATTCCATAGTGAAGGCACCGTGCCTGTTGGCTGTTGCAGTTATAATGCTATTGGGACTGTAGTTTCCAGGGTATTGCTTTTGCTAGAACTGTCTTTCAAAAGATTTTTTAATTGATGCCATTGCCTGGGGCTTATTTATGAAACAGATTGAATAGAGTTACACCCACAAATCTGTTAAGATTTTCCCTAAAGAAGTTACCAGATGTCTTTTTTCTTCCTTTTCTCCTAGTAGCTGCTACTGGGGGAAAAATGCCAACAAAACAACTTAAAACAGCACACTGCACACTCAGGGCAAATGCATAATTTGTTCCCCTTTATCAGCACTGAGAAAACAAAACTGTCAGTTTCCAATTCCCCAGCTGGCGGAGAGAGCGAGATGGGGTGGGAGGAAGCGGCCAGACGTGTCAGGTTTACCTAAGAACCTGCGCTCACCAGTTCTGTGTTGAGAAACCTTCAAGATGCTTACCAGTTACCCTGGATATTTAGAAGATTTGTGGTTGCCATTAGGAATAATGCAGAACTTTTCCCAAATGAATCTGCCCGACTGTTTTCGAAATAAACTTGCAGAAGTAATTGGTGGTGCAAATTAAGTAGTAATGTGTGACTATAGACTAGCTTTCTTCAGATCAGCATGAGGTTAAGAAATTATCGACCGACCAGCCCCAACCTTCCAGTAACATGGCAAAAGATTTCTTCATTCCAGTCCCCTTTTTTACCTGTAGTTTTAGGCGGGGACCTGAGGTGGTGAATAGAAGAGATAAATGTGTCTACGTGGTATTTCATTGTGTTTTTACATTCATTCAACAAATATTGGCATCCCGGTTATATGCCAAACATTGTGGAAGGCACAGGCCAGCACCCTCAGAAACACTAACCTCATTAACATTGATACGATCTAACCATTGTAGGACAATCGTAACAATCCAGCCTTACAAAGGTGCAGTGCAGTGTGAATTTCCTTCCTTCCTTTTCCAGGCTGTCAGGTGTCTTGATTTTCCTCCCTGAGCATTTCCCTGCGTGTCCACGGATGTCTGGGTGTGCCGTGATCATCGCCTCTTGTTTTCTGGTACAGTGGAGGCTCTATTTCTTGCTTTTTTCATCCAGTGATCATTCTTGTTAACATGCTAGCACTGATTGATCCACCCCCCGAGTTTTATTATTGTTGCAGAGCCTTGCACTGTATGGATGTACCATAATTTAATTTTCCAGGCTTCTAAGTTGTTGTAATGTAGAGACATTACTTCCTGCATGCAGAGTTCTCTTTTAATAAGAGCTACACAAAATGATGTCTGTGACTGCTATCCCAGTGCTGGCGTAGAATGGAGTTACAATAAATGTCAGCAGAATGGATGACTTGGTCTGTCTGTCCATGTGACCTCTTGTCATTTATTTTGCATATTGTTTTTCTTCTTAGATAATGGAAAAATAACTATCGCATACTCTAAGTTACCAGTGTCTGTGTTAATAAATAAGGTTTGTGTCACACCATCTGTATCCTAGCACCCCATTTGCATAGGGACACACTCGGTGTCCCCAATGAGGACCACATCAGTAGTTGCGGTTTACAAGTGAAGAGCTTGTGTTTGTGACGGCTGTTTTGTGTTGGGAATGGAAGGAAGCTCTCTCTACAGACCGGCAGACGGTGGTGCATTTCATTTTACCTGGCTGAGGTTTTAGTTTAGATGAATGCTGGTGGCCTTGCACAGGCATCAGGCTCTGGGAGTGTGCGAGCGTTGGGCAGAGGTGTTCTCAGAATTCTTCAAGGGCTCTGAGTCCAACTCTGAGAACTCAAGAAGCACATCCCGTGCGAAGAGGCCCTCGACCGCCTGCCACAGGGCGTCTCTCGTGTCCCTTTGGCCCAGCCTGGTCCACTAGAGATCTGGACTTCTTAAAAGTCATCTGATGATGTGTTTTGGAAAATAGATCCATGTTTACTTGTCTGCCAGTTACCCCAGCTGCTTGGAGGGCCCTCAGTGAGAAGATTCTTCGTCAGCTACCAGGAAGGACTCTGCGATCACCCAATGAGGGCCAGGCCCTGCGGCAGCCCACAGGTTGCACCGGCAGACCTGACACTGCCCCAGACAGCAGGCAGTAAGAACAGTGACGCCAGTGCTATGTGACTGTGCAGGTGGCTGACATTTTGTGCTTTGGATTTCTTCAATCCGTAGAATGGGGATGAAACCAGTACTCGCTGGCGTCTGGTGAGAAATAAAGACCTTAATACATGAAAGGTACTTGGACAGCGCCTGACAAAATAAATACCCATAACGGGTGCTCCCTTTGTGTACAGCAGCTGAAAACAGTGACTGCTGTGTCTTAGGTTTCGGGGCTGACAGATGTCAGCCTCTGTGGTCGGTGCTTTGTTATCAAAGGGCTGGATGAGCCCACCCCTTAGGATGCTTGGCCAACTCGGATGTTTTAAAGATGTGAAAACTTGCGCTGAGATACGTAAGCAGCTGCCCTGGGTGACCTAGCCATGAAGTGATTTGAGTCTGTCTTAGAAACCTCCTTCTTAACACTGTTCCTAGGGACATGGGATTATTTTGTGGACAGAGAGGCTGAGAAAACGACATTCAGAACTTGCCCCTATTATGTGGGCACCCAGGTTTATTTTGGCCAAATCTCAGTGATCTGGGCATTTGGCATTTGCAGGACTGCTATGTAAAGGGCGACAGGGTGGAGTGTCTGACCGCGGAGGGCTAAATAGCATGGGACATCTTTCTTGCAAAGCCATGCAATGCACAATGGGATGATAGAGTGTATTAATCAGCTTTCCTGTTTCTGGGACAAAATATCCAACACCTGCAATTTAAAGGAGGAGAGGATTATTTTGGTCACAGTTTCATAGGATTCACCTCATGTAGAGACAGCGAGATAGAGGGCGTGGCCGAGCAGAGCTGCTTATTTTGTGCTGGATGGGAAGCAGAACATGGGAACAGTACCAGAGAGCAAGGGGCCAGGGTGAGGCGGACCCGAGGTCATTCCTCTCCAACCACCCAGACATAATTTACTAAGCTCCTTGCAGCACTCGAGCCACTGAGCTGAAAATCCAGTTTAACAGCCATATTCCACCCTTCGTCAACTTGACGCCAAAACCCATCTCCTTAAGCCATGCTTAATCTCCAAACAAGAAACAAGGTCATGGTTTCAGCTCACACGATATCACTGTCCTGTGTTCCAGTGAAAATGCGCTAATGCCTCCTCTGAGGCTTAACAGTTCCAGCATTGCTCAGAAGTCCAAAGTCTCCTCCAAGACACACGGCAAACTCTTAGCTCTAAACCTTTGAAAATTACAAAGGTTAGTATCATATCCCCAAGGTACAACAGAGCAAGGTAAACATTCCTTTTCACAAGGGAGGAGGAGGCAAAGAACAGCACAGGACCAAATCAGGATCAAAATCCAGCAGGGTGAAAACTCAGTCCTGTAGGTCCATCCATGCCCAGCATCCAGGACTTGTGCAGTGCGATGTGAGTCCCAAGAGCTGCGTAGCCCTTCTCCTGTGGCCTTAGTGTTTACACCCACCCAGCCTCTCCCTTGGGCCAGCTCTGCATGCTTCTGGGCCTTCTCTCAGAAGACAGTGCATGTTCTTGCCATCTCCACTTTGACCCGTGCTGAGATTTCCACTGCACCTTCATGCCCATAATTTTACTGACCCATCTCACAGAGGACAATGCCTGGCTCCACAACTGTTACATTCTGTGTGCCTGGACAACCAGCATCACATGAACAGTGTCAAGATCTGTCACCAGCTCAAGCAGTAACCAGCCCCCCTCAGATAATGGCTACAGCAGCCTTTCAGTGCCAGGATAGCTGAAGATGATGAAATGGATCTCAGAAACTAATTCCCTAGGCAGTCCTTCTGGAGCAGGGTGCTCAGGGGCTCTCTTCTTAAATTAAGGTTATAATTTTGGTGATTTTTGGTCATTTTGAGATAGGGTCTTATTATGCAGTTCAGGCTAACCTTGAGCTTACTTTGTAGCTCAGGTTGGTCTTGAACTCACAACAATCCTCCTGTCTCAGCCTCCTGCATTCTGGAATTACTGGTACATGCCACCACTCCTGGCAAGTTTTGTACATGTGAATCTGTAATGGTCAGGGTCTCACTGATTCCTAAGGTGTGTTTCTTATTTTTCTGGTCTGAAGTACTTGGTTTCTTTTTAATGGTGTTAATCTCTTCAGTAACTAATCCTCCTTTAGCACCACCTTCACATATGCTTCTTCTTGTGCCATAATTTAAAATTTTCAAATATTTATTCTCTGCTTTTTTGCTTCTGTTTTTCACTAATCTGGTTAAAAGCCAGTAGTACCCATGACACAGTCTGAACATTGGGCTGCCTTGAAATTTCTTCTGCCAAATTAGTTGGTCCATTGCCCTTAAAACAGCCTTTTGCTTTTTCTCAGAATGTGGACAAAATGTAGACAAGTTCTTCAGCAGAAAGAAACACTCATAACATCTAGTCCAATCCTCCCTGCCCCAAATGTCTTTGTTCTCAACTAAAATATCATGAACCTGGCCTTTACTTATCACATTCCTATCAACATCTGATTTTCTGAGTCCCTATCAGAATTAACCATCAAGAATTTTTAAAAATTTTTTGAAGGTAGTAAAAATACAATAGAACAGGACAGAACAAAGCCAACTGAGACAATGCAGTGAAATTAGTACAGAACTTCACAGCAGGATACTGGGATAATAGTAATAGGTACTATGGTATATCTCGTTATCTTCACAATAGTTGTCCAGTCAATTAGGTATAGCAAAATCAAACCAAAGCAGAACAGTGTAAAACCAATTGAAAGAGAGTATTGAATAGAACAAAACAAAACAAAACAAAACAATGAAAACAACCTTTGCCTTCAAACAGAAAACAGAAGGAAATCCCCCATATTTGCTATATTGCATATTAACCATCAAGAATTAACCACCTGCTTACAGCATTCTAGGCTTTCTCTAGCCTGATGCTCCAAACTTTACCATACTTCACCCACAAACCGATTAGAAAGGCTTCTGAACTACATGGTCAGGTGTAGTCACAACAGAACCCCACTTTTGGTACCAAATTTTTGCTTTGGTCAGCTCTCCTGGAACTAGGACAAAATACCCGATACCTGCAATGTAAAGAAAGAGGAATTTATTATTGCTTACGATTCCGCTGGTTTCAGTCCATGATGAACAGCATCCAATGCCAACGTCATGGTGGAAGGTGGAGCAGAGCTGCTAAATTCTTGAAGGCTGAGAAGAAGAAAAGAATATCTCAAAGAGAAAGGGCCGGGGAGCATTTGTGGTCACACCATGACCCACCCAGACAGACCTAGAAGTGTGCTTTGCTAATCCCTTGGTAGCTCCAAGCCAAGCAAGTTGACAGTCCAGTTTAACTGTCATGCAGAGTATTTCCCACACCCCCAGTGAAGAGCAGTTTGCAGGAGGGTGGTTGACATTTAGTTATGGTAACTGTGAGATCCCTGGGGCCCCAGTTCCTGTCTGCTATGTCCTCTACAGATCCTCAGGTGTCACCTTATGTTTACAATCTGTCTCAGTTACTTTTCTCATTGCTGAGACAAAATCCCCATCTCCCAAAGTTAAAGGAGGAAAGGTTTATTTGGCTCACAGTTTGTAGAGGTTTCAGTCCATGGTTGGCTGGCTTCCAGGCAGAGTAGCATGGCAGGAAGACATTGCAGAGGAGAAACAGTTCACGGCAGGCAGAAGGCAGTGAGGCAGCAAGCATAAAGCTACAAGGAACAAGCAGTGACCCTCTTTCTGTCCCTTATATTAGGGGAGGTAGCACTCACCGCAGGGTGGGGCAGCCTTAATCCTCGCATGGCACCATATATCAATCCCAGCGTCGTATTCTTGAAACAGCATGTACCGTAGATCCAGATCCAGCCACCTCCTAAAAGCCCTGGTGGGACCCATGAGGCTTTGGGGGACGTCAGTCCGAAAGGCCTTTAGGCATCTCATGTCTGCAGGGTAGTGATGAGGAGCGTAGTGTGACTGCAGATAGATTACGAAGTGGAATGTTTAGTGGGACGTTAATGTGCACCACTGAGAATCAACTTCATTACCGAGCAGGAGAGGATGGGAACACAGAAAGGCAGCAGTTTTCTACCACATTAACTTACCTAGTAAAGAAACTGAAATTCAGAGAAGACATGTAACTCACCCACAGTCCCCCAGAAGACAGGGATGTGGTAGGGATGGGGACATGGGGTGCTGTCTTCTAGGCCTGTGTTTGTTGTAGTTTTATTCTGAATCCTCACCGAGACCCAGGCCAGGGCTCTGGCTTTGGGATTCTCCAGGTCTTTCTCATGAAGCAGTCTGAACAGATTAGTAGAATCGGTTGTGTCTTTGGGGGACGCAGACTGTGAAGGATCTGTGTTTCACTGATTAGTCTTACGGCTTCCAGTGCTTTCCTGGTTCTCTTTCCCTTTATATCCAGCTGTCTTATGAGTTCAGTATTATTCGTGCTTTTAGACCATTTAGTACCTATAGATCTTTTCACACGCGTATAGAAAACTGCCCTGCCATTCAAATGCCGGTGAAGAATAATTCTGTGTCAGCTAGTAAAAAACGAAAGCGACAATTGTGAACCTAGCTGGGGACGAGGGAATTCAGGAAGTCTAGATTTGCTTCATTATTCTAGGAAGAAAGTACTACTTATTAGAGTACTTCCTACTGAGATTTTTTTTTGTTATGCTAGTTAAAAACAATTTTCCATAGCTCATCCATGAGGGGAAAGGTGATATTTAAAAATGAAATCATTTGCTTCATAATTTTGAGCAACAGTAAGTTAAGCCCTAACTGTATAGTTTACTGGATAGCAAGAGATATGGTTACAATGGGATGTGAAAGTCACTTTGGAGGAATACACACACACACACACACACACACACACACACACACACACGGAGAGGTGCCTAACTCAGAGTTCAGGTGAGGAGGGCTTTCTGCAGAGGGGACCTCCAGGCGGAGCCTCGAAGGTGAGAGAAATGAGCCACAAGATTCTTCCAGGCAGAGCAACACATGGCACAGAAGGCGAGTGATGGTGGATGCTGGTGCCTGGATAGCTCAGATGTGTCCTGCTTAGGGAGAGCCAGAGGCAGGGGGTGCAGACTGGTCGATTGTTAGCTGGGTTACAGCAAAGTCAGATAAACCCCGTAAAGGATCCTTGGGGCACTGGGATTCTACCCTGGGATTTGAGCTAGGAAATGTCACCTGAGATTTGAGTTGCAGAAGGATCAGGCGAGTGGGAGATGATGGAGAATTTCAGCCTGTGCAGGGCCCCAAGGGGTAAAGAGATGAGCACCGATGTGGAGCCCCCTGGTGGCCAGTTGGGTTGCATTACACTGGGCGAGGGGCAGTGGCCCGGTGTAGGCTGGAGATCAAGATTCCATTTTATGTCTTGTCTGTGAATGATTTCTTCTGTTATGCCAGGAAAATCATTAATTTAGCACCTGTTTAGCAAATGGACTGGGACTGGGAGCAAGGTTGGCAGCAGGAGAAAAGAGATACTGGAAGGAAACCGACAGGAAACCATCAGGGGAAAAAGATTACAACCTGGACTAAGATAACACAGTGGGGGGAAGTTGGAGGACAGTGGGCTAGTTTTAATTTTGAAGCTTGCTAAAGGTCAAGGAGGAGGGATTAGGAAGAATAATTGCTTGTTCCCAGGCTGCTTGTGGTTATGGGTGTCAGAAACCCACTCACGTGGTCATCCTCACAGCAGGCTGCTCTGGGTGGGTGGTGCGGGCAGAGGACGGCCTCAGGGTGGCCTTGTGTGGCTGCTCAATGCTAGAAAGACTCCTGGAGCACCTCTAGAGGAGCTCCTGATTGTGGACCGGAAGGGACCTGGGTCAGCTGTGGACTTGTGGAGCTTGCTTGCTCCGTGTGCTGTGAGGTCCCTCCTGCCCCGCCCTTCTCCGTGTGACTTTGATGCATCGCTTTTGGTTCTCACCTGTGAGGTCTAGGGAGCTAGTGCAGTCCCTCTTCTCGGGACAGGTGTTCCCAGGAGCTCTCCTGCTGACGGTTCTTCCTGGAGGCCCACATCCCTGTTCCTCCAGCTGTCCCTCGTGGCACTGTCTGTCGAAGCCTTTGCCAGCCTGGTAGTGGCTTCCTTCAGCCGCGTTCCACTGGGAGAACCCTCGCCAAGGTGATGGATTGCGCCTGGCTGTCACCCTGACAGCAGAGATGGGCGGTAGGAGAGGGCACCCGTTCTTTCTTTAACATTTGTATTTCCCATTATTACAGGGAGGGATATTGAAAAGATACAAGAAAACTGTTACATTCCTGTAATAACTACTACCCAGAGGAAATTAGTTTACATTTTGGCTTAGTTTCTTCTTATCTTTTCTATGTGTATTCGTAGTATCTTAGGAGTTGGCATGGATAGGCTTCTTGCTTTTACATTCAGCTTTTCATAGCATCAAAAACCCTCCCTGCATTACTTAACTTAATCATTCCCTGATGTGAGGAATTGTTTGCGGCTCGGAAGTTTTCCAAATAGCACGCATTGCACATGCGTTGGAGCTTTTCGGTGCACATAGTATTGTTTGGTCCTTCTTACCTTCTTTCCTAGAATGAAAATATGGGCTACGGGCTTTTTCTGGGCCCTTGGGATACATGGCCACATGGTCCCCCGGGGATGGGCTCCTCCCCTTGCTGGCCAGCTGGGTTTGGAGAACTTGGTCAGTTCAGCATGGCCCTTGCCCCCTCCAGAAGGACGTGATAAACGGAGCTAAGACCCAGGAACGGGGAAGGCAGATGTGGATGGGAGCTCACTACTCATGTGGCTCGTGTACCTGCCTCTGTGCCAGGTGCAAGCTCAGCCTGCCCGTGGGTGCTGTAGCAGGCAGGTCTGCATCAGCCTCTGTGTTGGACACAGTCACCGAGACAGATGCAGAAACACAGAGAAGTGGCCACACCACCGCGGAGTGGAGATCATTTTGTTGTAGGTAGCAGCAGAGTTGACTAGAATAGGTTTTACATCTAGATTATTTTTTGTTCCCTAAGCTTTTTTCCCCTTTCTGTGTAACACTGGTGCACTAGAGCGCACACATCTTTGAGGGTGTTACCTGGTGAATTCCCACCATCCCCCCCTCAGCACCTACCACCCAAAGGATGGGAGCTTCCCAGCCACCTGAAGCAAATCTGCGCCCGTCCTTCCCAGAGTTATGGGTTGTGATTGCCTGATTTCACCCTCATGTAAATGAAATTAATAGTGTCTACCTAGCTTATTAATTTTCTTCCTTCCTCTCAATGCCTTAGTAATAAGATTAATTGGTTGTGGGTAGCAGTGACTGGTGCATTTTTCCTACTGGAGAGCATTCAGATCACACAGCTCTACCACAATCTGTCATTTTACTGTTGGTTGGCACTTATGGTGTTTCTGGTTTGGGGTTACTGCGGTTGGTACAAAAGGGAACATTTTTGCACAGCAAAAGATTCTCCTGTGCTTTATGCCAAGGGATACTGTTACGTCATTTTTTTCTCATGTCTGAACCATTTATTAAAAACAAACAAAAACTGTTTTGTGTTTGTGTGTGTGCAAGAGAGGAACACACATGAGCATGTGCGTGTGCGCGCACACACACACACACACACACACACACACACAGGCACAGAGAGAAAGGGGCTGGGCTGGGATCTCAGGCCTGTTGTGTGGAGGCAGGCGATGGACCTTCCCCACCAGAGAACATGGCTGTGGCCTTGCGGAGCGACGTCTGCTCCCGTGAATGGGACATTAACTCTGCTGCTGGCAGCAAGCGACAGGCCCTACTCGGGGAGCAGAATGTTTCTCTAATTTAATTAGGAATCTCAGGGAGGCATGTCACGATCCTCGCCAGCCTGCTGAGCAGATGGCAGGCTGCCACTGGGGCGCCTACGAGGCCCTTCCGGTCCACCACAGAGGGAGTAGTGAGAGCCCGGGTGCACGCTGTGACTTCTGACTTGGTCTAGAATGTCCCCGGGCTTCTCATGCGTGGGAAAGGCGACTGAGTCATGGGGGAGTTACTGTGCTGGTACAAAAGGGTGGCTTCCTCACTGATGAGCTCAGTACCTGCATGTGTAGAGGTGCGGCCCAGATGGAGGCAGTCACAGGGGCGAGGCCTGGAAGGGCGCATTCATGTCCCCAGCTCCCCCCTTCTCTCTGCTTCCTGGCTGCCGTGGGTTGAGCACCTTCCCCTCTGCCAACCTGTTCTTGCCTTGCAGCCAGCTGACCATGGACCGGAACTGAGAGCCCAAATAAACATCTCTTACTTTAAATTGGATCTCTACAAACACAGACGCAACACCAGAGAGCTGGGTCTAAATCTGGCCAGTCCTCCAGATCATTTCTGTCTATGCTGCAAAGATCACAAGAGCACATCGTAAAGTTAGAGCAAAGTCTCGGGTCCTGTGCCCGAGGCAGTCTCTCTTTTATACCCGTTTTCCTGGTGCCACTGTTAATAGCACCCTCTTCACTCCTGGAAATGTCCTGACTTACACAATAAATTATCCAGTCACTCCTTGGACACAGTGATTGAGGTCCTGTCACTTGTGTGCACTGTGACCTTAGACAAGCTTTCTGCCTGTCTGAGCTTTAGTTCTTATACCTGCCAGACAGGGTTATAGCAAAGATTAAATCAGCTGGTAGATGCTAGGCTCTTAGCCCTGGTTGTGGCTCGGAAAAAGGACTCAGACTTGAGGCCTTTGATATTGTATCTTTGCTGCTGTTATTCTGTAGCTAGAGGTTCTTCCAACGTGAACATAAAGTGCTAGTGTCTAAGAGCAGAGGCTGTGAA